TATCCAGCCAGTGCATATCTGCATCAGGAGACTGGGGATCCAACACCTGTAACAAGCCAGGAAAACATCCGTCTTTCTCAAATACACAAGTTTCTCGCAAAGGAATCCCTTATGCGACCGACACTTCCAAATGGAATCTATAAGCCCATTCCCGACAAGGTTCCGTCACATCTCCAGATGGCATCTATAAGCCCATCTCCCTATCCACCACCTCTCCAAATGGCATCTATAAGCCCATTCCCGACACCACATTGTTGAGACTCCAGCATGCGAGTGCAAATTTCCGGGCACTCTAGTGTCCAATCTCCTTTTACCCTCGAGTCACGAAAGGCAAACTTGCCAATCTAACTCTTCAGGTTCAAGAAGATTGAACAGGGGCAACTGTTGTACCCCAAAATTTGCCCTCCCATTTCCTCAACATTTTCTCATCACAAGACCTTTGAAGATCAAGATCCAGTTAGGGTTTCCTCTGCTCAAGACTTCTCCTCGCACTGTGGACTCAAATTAGGGTTTGTGTTTGCCTAAGGATGTTTTGACCTAAAATGCCTAAAATGACTTTCATGCTTCATATTGGACTCCCAAGTTTCTCCATACCAAGTTTCAAGTCTTGATTCCAAGTTTTGCCCAGTCAATTAGACAGATGACCTAGAAATCAACTGTATTGGGGAAAAAGTCAACTGTGGCCAATTGACAGTCAAATCTCATGAAATTTGACCCACATCAACATATTGAATTCATATGGACCATTGGATCAAGTTTGGATCACAATTCCATAAGAAATTTGATCAGATCACCAAAAGGGCAAAATGGTCATTTTTAGGGTTTTGACTGCACAAAGGCAATTTTTGAATGTTTGACCTAGCCAATGGCAAATCAAGCTCACATATGGACTCAAGGACTCAATGAAATGGTCTTGACACATTCATCAAGCTCAAAAGATCCCAAGTACACAAGATTGACAGTTGAATTTCCCAGTCAATTGACCAATTTTGACTGTATACTGAAAAGTCAAACTTTGTCTTTTTGGTCAAAATCAAGAGTCAAGATTCATTTTTCATCAAAACATGCCAAATCATGAAACTTGTTCATCAAGAAATCACAAAATGCAAATTAGGGTTTGAAAATGGAATTTTTCATAACTTAGAATTTTTCTAAGTCATGAAAAACCCTAATTTTTTCCCAACTTTGCCCCATCTTTTCACCATGATCCATTTGGATTCAAACAAAAGTCAAAACATGAAAGTTGTAGCTTGTTGCATAATCTACAACTTTGATTCACAAAGTTTTCTCATTTGAAGCTTGTATCTCAAGTTACAATTTTTTGAATAAGGGCACTAAACCATTTTTAACTTAGTGAAATTTAACCTATTTTGACAAGGTTTTCTACCCCACTTCAAGGCCACTTTTCATACCCTTCCACTTGGAATTTTAATTTGCATTTCAAAGATGGATTGTAGTACACATTCCAAGCTTTCCAAAATGTCCAAGAACTCATCAAACAACCTCATAACTTGAGAGATTCGAATTTCACAAGTTGGCAAGAATTCACTTTTGTTCTTCATCAAAACATGTTCATAAACTTGGCAAATTTGAACTCAGCATAGTTTGTGCTACTTTACAGGTCTTTAAACCAAATTACACTCCTTAATTTATTATAAAACCATTGAACCAAGTTGTTATTCTAAGCCTTTGGTCATTACACAAGGAATTAAGCCTAAACTAGAAAAAGCATTATTTCCATTCTTGAAAAGAAGAACTTTATGTCAAGTTTGCAATCCAAGTGGTACAATCAAGATCTTCTTGGCACAAGTTTGTGAGCAAATTGCACTGATCAAGGCAAGGGATAGCAGCATAGTGGAAGGGCCTGTACTGACCTAGAGAGCCAAGTTGCATTTTGTAGCTTAAGTGTGAAGAAAGGTCCATAACTCATGCCATCTCTCATCTCAGCAAAGACACACAACACAAAAGATATCAAACACATTCCATAGAACATATCTAAGCTTTTGCACGAGTCCTGAACCTCTCAAGCACCCTCCATCTCAAAATCACCTTGAAACTGCACAAACAGGGGAAGCCCTGCAGATTGAGTGCTATCTCTCAATCCCTTCGAGCATTCTTGTCCAAACTTGTTCCTCTACCTTCCTTACAACATATGCAAGCTAACCCTGTCCTTAAACCTGACCTGTAACACCTCCAAGCCACTTCACCATTTTTAAATTTCTGTTTTGCAGTTGGAGTTCACTAGATCGATTCAGGGAGTTTCAAGACAAAGTAGAACTTGGAAAAGCATCCTTACACTTCAAGGAAGCTATACAAGTCATCATTTCACTCTGAAACATCCTCCATTGCCAAGCTCGATTCCAACTGAACAGGTATATTCATGGAGTTCTATCTCTCTTATTAGGCATTGTTAGCTTTAGGTTTTTGAAGAAAACATGTCACAATCATAGCCCTGAACACGCTCATATGATTAGATTTCATTTATGTTTCGTGTGCTTAGAGAATTTCATGTCTGAACATTGATGAAAAGTTAGGTCAGAAATTGGGGGGGAGAAATTCTCCCTCATCTTAGAGAGATAGGTCAAGTTATTTATATGGTTGAAACCGTCTCTTCATGCTGAACATTTCTTGTGTTATGAGTTTTTGCTGAAAAGCCAAGAATCAGGAGTTAGACATTGAAGAACAGGGGGGCGCGTTTTTTCAAATGTTTGAGCTGGAGGTTGAAGAATGAGTGGAGTGGGCTGGGCCTGTGTTATTTTGCTTTTCACACCATCTTTTTTGATTCACACCCCCCTGAGCCCATTTGTTCATTTCTTAACATTTTTGACTTTTTCTTTTTTGGCTGACTTTGTTTATTTTTTCTCATGGCATTAAAAAATTAAAAATATTTTTTCCATCATTTTTTGAATTTATGGCATATTTATTTGATTTGTTTCTTTATTTATGCATAATATATATATATACCATTATTAGAATAAATAGCAAAATAGTGTAAATACATTTTTATTTTTATTTACCTTCTGAAAATATTTCACACAAAAAACATACTCTTTTATTTATTTTATTAAAATATTAAATAAATACTTATTTTGTGTATAATACATATTTAGGGTTTAATATATATATATATATATATATATATATATATATATATATATATATATATATATATATATATATATATATATATATATATATATATATATATATATATATATATATATATATATATATATATATATATATATATATATATATATATATATATATATATATATATATATATATATATATATATATATATATATATATATATATATATATATATATATATATATATTTATTAATATATATATATATATATATATATATATATATATATATATATATATATATATATATATATATATATATTTATTAATACATTTAGGCTAAAATGTAAAAATACTTGAATTTTTTCATTTTTATTAATATTTGATACAAAAATACATTTTTTCACAATATACTTCATTATTATATTATTTTTATAAATAAACAAATAAACATTTGTATTAAATTAGATAATAAGGCATTTTCTTTAAAAATTAGGGTTTGTGCCCTAAATTCAAAAATACTCAAAAATAATACATTTTTATTTTCTTTTCTCTTTTACATAAATAATATTTTTTCATACATATACAAAACATTTTTGTGCATCTTGCATTTTTATTTAATTTTTGTACATTATTTAAATTGCAACTATTCAAAATGATGTAATAACTTAGATTTAAATTCTTGTCAATATCCCCATTTGAACATTTGTACCCCCCTTCCCATATTTGGTTTTGTAATAGCTTAGTAATTTTAATTTCGCACTTTATTGCTTTCTAATGATAACATGTTAGAATTAGGGTTTGTATGCGAAAAAACGATAAAAAGTAGTTTGACCTAATACAAGATAAACAAGCATGAAAATGGACACACAAATCACACTTGCACCCCCTAGGGTTTTCCACTTGTTGCCTTCAAATAAATGGGCCATATTGCATGTTGAACTTCTTTGGGCAAAGCAAACAATTTGAATGATCATAGTCCCTCGACAAAACTTTTCAAAACAAACAAAAACAAATGATCAAGTCCCTTAAAGAAATTGCTCAAAGACATTTTAACGCCGTTGCAATTATGGTCTAAAACGATGACCCGCGCCTGTCCCTTTCACATCCTAACACAAGATTTTCCACCAAATACAATGGTGGAACAAACTTGTTAAAAGGGTTAAAACATAGCAATAATCTTTTGAGAAATTTAGGAGTAGATAACCTCTTAGTTGCTTGAATCAAACTTGCAAAACAAAACACTTGCCTAATTTCAAAACCACACATCACTTTCAAAATAACTTTCAAAAAAAACAAATGAAAACCTTTTCAAAAGACATACACCTTTGTATACATCCCCATATGGATCATTACAAAGGTTGCCACCACATTGGCCTCTTTTCAAAACATTTTCAAACCCACACACTCAAGCACCATTTAAAACAATTGAAAACAAAAGGCAAGTGATCTAAAGCAAGTAACTAAGAGCCCATGGATAACCATGGATAGAAAGGGTGCTAATACCTTCCCTTTCTATAATCTACTCCCCGAACCCAAGAAAACATCTCAAAAGGTTTTTGCTGTGCTTTTTTAACCTTTCCTTAGGATAAAATAAAAAGTCGGTGGCGACTCTTGCTAACCGCAACATTTGCGAATACAAACGCAAACCTCAAGTCAGTTCTCCCACCGTATCACACACCCCCACAAATAACTCCAACAACAATACACATGCTACAACATAAACACCAAGAACATACCTAACACAACCAGCTACAAGAAAAACCAGAAACAAAAACTAAACCAATAAGCTAAAATCAAAACCTGCTACAAGTGCACCAGTAGCCAGACTACAATAACTCCCTTGAACCACTGCAAACTACACAGGCTACCTATCATCGCCAAAAGAACCGCAAGAATAGTGATCATTCAAAATATCACCGATAATGAAGCGAGGGAAATTTCACCAACCCACACATTGACAATAGCGAAAGCTACTTCAGCCGCTGAAACCTGAACAAAAGAAGAGAAAAAACCATAAATTGAATTTGACACCAATGATACTTGATATCGATAAGTCGAGATCCTAGCCAATAACCGCCACACATGCCAAAACAAGCCCATAGATTCATACACTATTGGGGGGAAATAAATCACATATTGATGCTACTGATTCTCAGTTTAATGCAAGAAGAAAACTAGACTTCTTCGAACATTATGCCCAAACAACCTTAGGAATTGCAGAAAATACCATCAAAGCCAAAACGCCATTACCATCAAATGCAACAGATAGAATGACCAGAAAAAACCAAAACCTTAGCAGACCAAATATATTGGCCTAGCTAGAACTATGAAGCAGCATAGGGAGTCACTACTAACTCCGACAAGGGACACCAAAAAATGAAAGCCCAAAAGAGCCGCAAACACTGAGTAGATCGAAACCAACCAGCAGATGAGGAACCACCAAAAGATCAGAAACTTAAGCAAATTAATAGATTCTGAATCCAAAGATTTAAAGACTGGACAAACCGCTTTGAATTATAGCGAATCCAGCTCCACGGCAAGATCTTCGCTTCTTCAAATAGACTATCAATCTCGAGATCCTTCCCTTTAAAAATTATGTTATTCCTTGCTTTCCAAATCGTCCAAGCAACATCGGCCCAAATACTAGTCAAATACTTCATTGATCTTCCTCTTTCTCCCAGCAGACTTGTAAAATTTTCAAAGTTTGCTGCTAGATCACGAGTATTATCAATATGCAGATTCATCCAGTAACAAACCTCATGCCAAATGCTTTTCGCACAAGGGCAATTAATCAATATATGTGAAATAGACTCCCTCTCTCAACACACCCAAACAGGCATGCATCGTTATCTGACCTAAGAAATCCTATTTTCCTGAGATTTTCCCTAGATGGCAACTTGTTTTACAACACTTGCCACAAGAACACGAAAATATTACTAGGTAAGATTTTGTTCCATATCAACTTACTATATGGAAATTCAGACGTGGTGTTTCTTTAAAGCAGGGACTTATACGCATATTTTACTACATACCCTTTTGATCCACCCCAACTCCAACCCGAACCGGAATTATTATCTAAATTCTCTAAAAACCAGTTAACTCTAACTCCCCACCTGGTTCTGTCAAGGGATTCCAAGTCTCTCCACAAAATGGAATCTTTACCTAAGGTTTCTCTACGAGTACATACGAGGTTCCCATATATTAGACCTAAGACTTCAACCCAAAGGTCGTTATTATCAGATTTAAATCTCCAAAGCCATTTCCCAATTAGAGCCATGTTAAATATTTTCAAATTCTTGACCCCCAACCCCCTGTCACTTATATCCCTGTAGACAGGGAGAGCGGACAAAACTGATTTTATAAGAACAACTCTTCCGCCAATGAATAAATTTTTATTAGTCCACCTTGACAGCCTTCTTAGAATAGCCTCAATAATCAGATTCCAAGTGGACAACCGTCTAGGATTAGCCCCAATTGGAAACCCCAAATAGTTAAACGGTGTGTTGCCCACCTTACAATTAAACTGGAAGCTGCTGCTTGCATCCACTCAATACTAACTTTCATCCTTACCAGCAAACTTTTGTGAAAATTCACTTTAAGACCAGAGCTTAATTTAAACAGTTTTAGCATAGATTTGATACCTCTCACATTCTCCCAACTCTTTTCTCTTATGTTCAACGTGTCGTTAACAAATTGGAGATGAGACACTTGAAAAGTACCTTCTTCAAAGTTAAATCCTTTGAGTTTACCAATTCAGTAACTTTCTGCATCAAGCATTTAAAACCTTCTACCGCAATAAAAAAATAAGAATGGGGAAAGTGGATCGCCGTGTCGAAGACCTCTAAGCATCTCGAATTCTTCAATGGAGCTTCCATTTACCATAATCGAAACACTTGCGGAGCGCAAGCATGAGTTCATCCATATTCTCCATTTTTCGTGAAAGCCCATTTTCTCCATCACAAAATTCATGTAACCCCAATCAACTGAATCACAAGCCTTTTGAAAATCTACCTTAAATAAGATGGTCTCTATATTTTTCTGGTGGGCCTCATCAACGATCTCGTTAGCCACCAAAATACCATCCAAAATTTGACGTCCTTCGATGAAGGCATATTGGTTTTCGGATATCACTTCTACTATCACCTTCTTTAACCTATTTGCCAAGACTTTTGCCACCATTTTATAGTTGCATCCTATAAGGGATATAGGACGATAGTCATTCAGACCATGAGAATTTTCTTTTTTGGGGAATTAAGACTATGAAAGAGCTATTAGTTCCTTTAGCCAATTTACCATTTGCATGGAACTCACTCAACAAATTCACAAAATCGACCTTTAGCTCTCCCCGGAAATCCTTCACGAATCCGAGATTCACCCCATCTGGCCCTGGACTTTTTGCACTATCACACTCCCATACCGCCTTCTTCACCTCTGCTTCCGAGAAAGCTTCTGTCAAAATCTCGTTATGGGACTCACTAATCTGCTTGAATGCGCAATTTTCTAGGTTCATTTTGCTCTCCTCCTTGTGAAATTGGGATTTGAAGTGTTCAAAAATCATCTCCTTAATTTTCTCCACTTCAGATAAGTATTCACCATTTACACACAGACTCAAAATCTCATTTTGTTTCGCTCTATCCTTCACCACTCCATGGAAGTATTTAGAGTTCACATCCCCCTCCCTCAGCCATTTCACTCTGGATTTTTTCCATTGTAAGCTACAATACAACTTGGAGAGATTAATAATCTTTGATTATGCCTCTTGTTTTTCCATCTTCTCTTCCATCAATAAGTCTTTGGTCTCACTTTTTTCCTCCAGCCGGTTGAACACATTTTTCGCTTCTCTTATTTTTTTTCTTCAAGGTTCTGACTATGGTTTTGGTGCCATTCCTTCAGGCTACACTTGATCAGTTTGAATTTTTCTTTGAGAACGTATGAGATCCAACCTCTAAACTCAAATGACTTCCATTGTTCTATACGAAGAAGATAAACTCATTAATTATGAAATATATCTATCTAATTATCATGGTTGCATGTTTGACTCACAACCTTGTCTAAACAATACTAACTTAATTGACTCTAGTTTTCCTATGTAAGCTTAGTTATTTTTACAATTGAACTTGCCATTTTCTTAGTATTCCGAGAGTGTTTTTGTAAGTTTTTATGGGCTTCTGGGTTCTGTTTGTTTCAACTTCAAAACTTAGTGCCAAATACAATGTTTTTTTAAACGTTCTTTTGATATACGTGTAAGTTGTGAAATATAAAATTTGAGGATTTTTTTTCTACCATGTAGTTTTCTAACGCACCAAGCAAATTTACATAAATGTATTTGAAGATTGAAAATATATTTTCAAGACGCATTAAGATTTGATACAATGTTGGTTGAAATTGGAATTTAATTTTCGGTTTGTATCCAGACTTACATTTCCGATTTTGTGATACACAGAGGGCTGAAAAACAACCTTGAATAATACCAATTTCATAAATTCAAAAAAATATTCATATCATAACATATGTAATACATTAAGGATTGAAACATATATCAAATATTACACTTCAAAGTCCAGGTGGACGTTGCAACATCTCGATAATATCATCTACCGATCTTGATACAGTCACATCTAGCTCGACCGGAACTTCCGCTTCAAAGGGGGTAAAAGTATACCACATAGCCCGTATATCAATGTCGGTCTTTATCTCAGGGTTGATGAACTCAAGCTTCTCATCTTTGTCAACGGATGATGAACGGTACTCGATCTTCACAACTTTGCGATTGTCGCGATAAGGTAGCAGATCCTGCAATATGTCTTGCAGATATTCAAGAGGGGTGTACTCGGTGAACTTAAATTCTCGTGATGGTGTATTATCGGTAAAGTGGAGATTTCCAACATGTCATTTGATGTTCATTCTAGTTTTTTGTGTTTTGGCATGAAACAATATGCCAAGTGAGGTTATTTATAATAGTTGAAGGCAAACATGGACCTTACAAATCTTATCTTATGACATAGTGTAAACCAGAAATTCATTTCCGATTCCACCTAAATATGTACCAGAATTATATTTCCGGTAAGTCCCCTGGGACTAAAAAAATAGAACTGAAACAGAAACAGAGCCATACATAGAAACAAAAACAAAAACCTCATGTATTGAAAGATGATATTTTTTGTCAAACTACAAAATGACTATATTCCACAGCATAATACATTGACAAAATGACATTAGCAATAAAATGACACCTAACTACTTAAATGATCTTAAATAATTGTCGTCGGCCAAATCCACGGATGCTACCCCTTTTGACTTATACCTATTTTTTTCTATTTCAATTTTGTTCAACTTGTTGTAGTCTTGCATCCTTTCAATAAATTGGTCCGGCCAGGTCTCAGAAGGACTTGTGTAATGATTCGCCCACTCCGATGACGTAAGTGGTATTGGACATCCCGGTTTCAAATGTACTTGAACAAAATGCCGCAGATTTGAAATCCACCTAGCACAAATGATAAGATCATTGGGATTTGGCGGTGGAGCAGTGTATAGTGGGAAAATGTTTCTGAGAAATCGTATCTTGTAAGATTAATACACACTCTCCCATACGCACTTACTATCAGATGACATATCTCAAGAAAGCACATCCATTTTATCTTTGGTGCAAATCCACTTACACAAGGTACTAACGCGTCATAAATCTCCTCTACTTTTTCATTAGTCCTGAGCACACCTTTGTATAATTTTCTATTGCTCCTCAACCCTCTGATAAGAGTATCTCAGACAATATGGTGATCATCTCCCCCTTTACCGATCAAACCTGAAATAGCTCAAAAACCACAATTAATGTCACCTTTGACATTGACGATACGTTCAATGTACTTGTACATAAAAACCGACATCTCCTCGATGAATGGTATTTTTGGTGGAGTCGATGTAGGAGGTGGTTTGCTAATACGGGCTCCTTTGAAAACACTTTTCTGAGATTTCTGAGTAGGTGGATCAAAAAAAACTTTGTCAACGTGTTCAAAATATAAAGAAATCCTCGTTGTTGAATTGTCGCCCAGTGTTGGTTTCACCTTCTTAGGTGTCCCTTTAGTTTTTACTGGTTGAGATGGTTATTTCAAGTCTGTCGTCTCCGAAAATGCAATCTTCCTCAGTTGCTCTTTGATGTGGAGTTTGGTGGACTCATCGACTTCCAAAAATATTTCTTGTATTGATTCTCATTCATTCAAGATGGAGATACTTGATTTATCGTCTTTCATTTTACTGTCATCTTCAAAACTGAGTCTCTCACAATGATTGGAGACCTCGTCCATATGTATCGGGCAATCAACTTTCATCTTCTTAGATATGATATAAGCACAAGGGAGTCCATATGTTTTCATAATTGTGTAACCATACTTTGAGTTGTCGAAACCTACATTAGAAGCTCGTTTGGCTTCGTGAAAAATATAATTCATAGTTGGCCGAGAGATGTTACCGACCAACTGAGAATATAGGGTGTTGTCTTTGAACCTATATTCCAACACCGTGATACTATAATCAAATGTTGTTTGTATCTCATTATGTTGGTTTAGTATCATATGGTTCATAGAGTCTCATTCTGTAATCAAATCAACCTTGTTATTTCCCAATCAATTCTTCAGACATGTATGAGCAGACTCAACTCGGTTTGTTATTGTATTTTCGAGGTGCATAACCTGATCGGTCTAGGCACAAGCAATTTTCTCCTTTACCTAATACAATATTGTGATTTCAACATATTTCAATAGATAGGGATAGCTCACACACACAAACCTTCCTGAAATGTAAAACAACATCAGCGTATAACTCTTTTGTAGATGCATTTATTATAACATTTCATGCATCCATAATTTTCTCCATAATAATGCCCGCATTGACCAGTTTTCCATCGTCACTTGTCTATTTTGTCCCTACCGCAGGTTTAATCCGACTTCTCACATTTTTAGTAAAATGATACCTACAAAGTAATGCATAAGAAGTCAGAAATACCGTTGCAACCGAATTCATTAGTGCGGTATCTCGATCGGTAACTATGACTTTCGGCATTGTCTTCTTGGTCCTTCAACATTGACTGACAAACCTCTAAAGCCCATGCAAAAGTGTCCTCTTTTTGGCACTCTAGGAATGCAAGACCAACCGAATATGTCTTCTCAATCGACGTAACACCAACAATGAAAGTATGTACTTGTATGTCTTATACGTTGAATCAATTATGAGCACGGTGGGAAACATATTAAAAAATTTAATGGAATCGGGATGAGTCCAATAAATATCTCTTACTGTTACCCCATCCTCACATCTTCGGTGCCTACAAACATAATTATTTTCTTCTTGAAGTTTTGGTCGGGACTTTATGAGTCTATTGGGATACTAACTGCAAGTATACAGTTTAGTCATTCTAGTTTTAAATGATTATCGAACCCACAAAGACTGAGGATCAATCACATATGATCTAATGCTACAATTGTTTAACTAAGCGATGAATATTTGGTTTTAGGGGGGAAATAGTTTAATTAAAAATAATAGTAGTAGCTATACCGGTATGTGATAGTCGGACTTCGGGAATTCGGTGAATCGCTTGGCATATAAAGTATTTCAGTAAAAACGAATTGTTTAAAAACCTGAGACATTGTGATCGGTGGAAATAGAACTGACTGTTTTGGAATGCTGGTTCGCGAAATGTCGCGGTAAGCAAGAGTCGCCACCGTCTTATATTTTCTCCAACAAGGAAAGGACAAAAGCACAGCAAAATTCCTTTTCGAGATGTTTCTCGGGTTCGGGAGGTGGATTATAGAAAGGGAAGGTGTTAGCACCCTTTCTATCTGTGGTTATCCACGGGCTCTTAGGTACTTGCTCACTATGTTTTCAAAATGTTTTTGCTTTTTTTGTGTTTGTGGGTTTTGAAAAAAAGTTTGTTTGAAAACTTCGGTTTGACTCTTGTATCTGTTCTCAAGAGTGTATGAAGTGTTGTTTGAAAACTTTTGTCAGAAAAGTGTAGGTGCGAAAAGTATTTTTGTTTTGAAAGAGCAAGTATCTAAGAACCTCTACCTACTCAAAAGAAATTAAGCTGTGTAAATGTCCTTTAGACAGTACTATCCTACTATTGAGAAGTAGGTAGCACCGTCTTTGGAGTTTTTCGGGTCAATTCGATTATAGGGACATGTGGTCACCAAAGTAATAGTAGGACGCCTTAGCGGTAACCCTAATGTCTTAGATCATTTTTTATCGAGGCAACCGTTTCGAGGCAACTTTGATCTTTAGACATGATGGCGACCTCTAAAACACCCTATACTCAATGACCATGTCGAGGCAACCAAGTGAGGCGTACCCTAAGAGTGGCATGTGCGAGTGTGTCAGGATTCAGTTAAGTTATCTTTGCACATGTTATGGTGAGCTACGGATTGATTTTAATTTCAGATATAAGTCTTGTCATGCATAGCCTAGTTAACATACACCTAATAGTTAATTGTTGCAGAAAGTAAATCTACGCTATTACAAGGC